GCAAAACATAAATGTCTAATTGCTGATTTAAATGGAGTCATGTAAGAGTCTGGAATGATGGAAGTTAATAGTTGATTTGAACACACTGTATCAGGTGGGGTCTAGGCAGGAAATCAGAGCTCATGCCAGGTAGCTCCATAGAGGGAATTTAATAAGGGGAATGGTTACAAAAGTGTTGGCAGATCAGAAAAGCCACATAAAAAATGGCGAGGCAAGCTAGAGATTAGCAAAAGGAGGAAGCCTCTGCCACCTTCAGGGCTGAAGGGACTAAGGAAAGAGGTGGCCGTCAGAAGCCCTGGGATGGGGCCACCTGGCACAATCTGGACTCATGGAAGGGACGCAGTTTCAGTTGGAGGTGCCACCATGAGCTGAATGAGAGAGGGAGAGAAATACCCTGGCTTCTTCCTAACTCTCATGACTCCAATTTCCTGCTGGTGCCTCTTATTGGATGAACCGACTTGGAAGCCAGAGGGCAAGGGCGCCCGGGAATTGGAGGTTGCAAGGATCAGCCCCTTGTGAGGAGATGGGAATGGTGTTATAGTTATAGGTATGTGAACAGCTTGGACTATAAAAGCTGGTTCTCCCCTTAATTTAACTAAGGACCCCTCTACAGATGGTAACTTTGGGTATTCCTTTTCTTTTGATCCTAAGGCTGAGATCCCCAGCGTTTTCCATGGCATAGATACATGTGCAGATTTGGGATTATTCATTCTCCTCTCCTCTCCTCTCCTCTCCTCTCCTCTCCTCTCTTCTCGTCCCCTCCTTTCCCCTCCCCTCCCCTCTCATTTCCTCTTTCTTCCTCTCTCTTTCTCTCTCTCTTCTTTCCCCCCAACTTTCCTCTCTCTCAAAATCATTATCAAAAATCTTGATTCTAGGGCATCCAGAACTCTTCTACTTCTCCCAGTTTCTTTCTCCAGAAAGTATGGTATATTCCAGATCTTTGTATTATAGATCTCCTCCTTTCCTATCAAAACTTATCTGTCCTACATCCCACACATTTAGGTCCTTGTACTCCTTGCTGACACTGACTAAGGTGTCTCCCTACCCAGGTAACACATTTGTAATACAATTCCACATTTAAAATTTTATTCTAGTTATGAAACTAACTAATGAACATTGTACAAAATCAGGAAAAGATAAAAAAATTCAGGAAAAAATAAAAACCAGGTATAACCCCATCACCATCTCTGTGGATGTCCTTTGTTTTGCACTCTGTGATGACGCCCAGCCTGGTTGCATAAAAGGCATCTTGGGGACAGTTGTTTTTGATTTTTCTGTCCCTGCTTCCCTTGGGTATGCCATTGGCCTTCAGAACTTTCAGTTTTTCCACAGCTCTGCAGAGCATGGGTGATGACTCCATTGTTTGTTTCCTGGAAAATAGAGTCAAATGTCTGCCCTGCCCATCTTTCCTACAGCATATATGAACAGCGTCCTTCCTCTGATGGATTAAATGAGTTTTTTTGTTTTTTTTTTTGAGACAGAGTCTTGCTCTGTCACCCCAGGTAGAGTGCAGTGGCGTCATCGTAGCTCACTGCAACCTCCAACTCTTGGGCTCAAGTGATCCTCCTGCCTCAGCCTCCCGAGTAGCTGGGACTACATGCGTGCCACCATGTCCATCTAATTTTTCTTTTTTTAGGAGAGATGGGGTCTTGTTCTTGCTCAGACTGGTCTTGAACTCCTGAGCTCAAGCGATCCTCCCGCCTTGGCCTCCCAGAGTGCTAGAATTACAGGTGCGAGCCACCAAGCCTGGCAACTAAATGAGTTTTTGAGAGCAAGATGGTGAGTAACCCCATGTGACGTCCTGTAATGTATCAGGTTAAATGGGGAGAGGGGGGTGTGGCCAGTGCACAGACTCACGATGGAGCCTTAGGTGGGGATGGCTTTTTGGCAGGCATACTCACATTTCATATCGTGTGCTGCGACTTTAAACAGTAATATTCAGAAGCGTTATGGTTTAACCTGACAGCGGAGAAGTGGGAGGTGACAGGAATACATATAAAGAGATTTGTTATAAGAAAGACCCAGGTTTGAGTCCTGGCTCTGTCACTTAGGAGTTGAGCAAACATGAGCAAGTTATATTCGCTCTCCAAGTCTCAGTTTCCCCATCTGTGAAATGGAGCTAATGCCAATCCTATTGCATTACCGTTCTCTCATGTGCCATGCACTGTTCCAAGTGTGTTCTTATGTGAAATACATGATTCCATTGAGCCCTCATTATATTATTACTCCCATTTAACAGGGGAGCGAGTGGAGGCTTAGGCAGGTGAAAATGACATGCTATTAAATGTCAAAGCTTGGATTTGAACTCAAGTTCAAGTGACATCTTAACTGCTACTCCATTCTGCCTCCCTCCCCACAGCCCCTGCACCATTTCTCACAGTGGGAACTAAATAAGGGGTAACAGTTGCTAGCTGCTGATTTACAGATACTACCTCCAAAGCTCTTCCACTGAATGTTGTTAGATTTCATCATAAAGAATTTTATATGGCAGAAAATCAGAATGATTTGTTGAGGGTCACGGCCGGAAAGCCAATCTTCTGAATATCTGTTGTTCTCTGTGTTTTATGAAAGAATGTTCCAAACTCATCTTTGTTATTCCTTAAAATATGATCTACTTCCTAGAATCAGATTAAGATGAAAATGAACCCACGTGAAATGGGCCTGGGCTGATACAGACGTCAGGGGAACAGCTGGGATGCTGCGCCGAGTGGCGGGGGGAGGAGGGAGGCTGTTTGGAAAGACAGCACCGAGGAAGCGGGCGAGATGATGAAAAAATTTCAGACTCATTACGGAGAAGCCATGAAGAAAGGAACAGGCAGGGAGTGCACAGGATCACGGTGCGAGTGCACGCGTGAGCCCGGAGACCTACGTTTAAGTATTTGGTGGTTTTATGGTGGCGATGGGCATTTTCCTTTGGGGAGAATGAGTTTTTGTTTTTTTGTCACAAGGATGTAAGATGAATACCTACCTACATAAGGATACCCTGAATTAGTGACCTCATCCCCACGCAGACCCTTCAAACTGAAATAGGAAGTGTGCTTTTGAATTCTTTAAAGCCTCTTCTTGCTGAAAGCAGGTCACATTCTTCAGACACTATTTTGACTCAACCTCCCCTTTACCCTCCTGTCTTCTTATGGACCCAGGAGGAAGGAAGTTGGGGCAAGGGGATTGGAAAGGAGGGGTGCAGCAAAGGGGACTGTCTTCGGGCAGATGAGCAAGTCCTTTGCTGAGAACTTAGGGAGGCTCAGCGGCAGGGGTCCTCTGGGAGGAGGAGGTGGGATGGGGAGGATGGACATGATCCCTGGGAGGAAAGCTTCTGACACCCACTCCTGGTACGGTGCCTGG